TTGATTTGGTGGTTAAGATGAGAACCGGTTATTACGATGTGGACACACAGATTGTGCGGGACATGTATCGTGTGGTGACGCCTCCCATATCAGACTTCAAGAGTTTAGGCTATTATATTGGCCGCGAATGTGCGAAACTGCCCACATATCGATTGGAAAGGATGACATCGCCTGGTAATCATCAATCAATTATTAATCAATACTTTATATTCTGTTAACATTTATTAAATTATTGATTTGTTTTCAGTGTTTAAGCGAAGCATTGATCAGTCCTCTGAACAAAATGTTGTGTTCTCTGAGTTCGCCGGCCTTGGGATACATGAGTTTCAGATCGTGAACCTTCAGGACGCGAAGGGAATCAAATGAGTGCTTCACTCACTTGTGTTATCTCTTTTTATTGATTGGATTCAACGGTTAATTGTTTTTCAGTGATCACTCAACTAATTGTAAATTTTGTTCTCATGTTTTTGAGTCATTGATCTTAACTAATGTTAGCCAAAGCGTTATTTTTAATGACATCCTATATATAGTGAACCCTATATAACCAAATGCTGTAATTTATATTTAAAAAAGTACTTTAATATCACTTCTTGTATTGTAAACACTTCTGAGATTTAGTCACCGATTGGTGTGATATAATAATTATGACTTTAATTTTACCCTAATTTTCGGTTTTAGTTTCACTTCAAACTATATCAAATATATAACAAAAATTAGAGATTTTTTTGGTACATTTGAATGAATTTAGATTCTAATATAAAATCCATATTACAGTTATGGATATTTGTTGCGAGAATTGTTAGTCGTTTTATCTTAGGTTTAGACACTTAATGTATCACTTTGTCTGGATTGGAGCCATAATACCCTAATAATGTAATATTTATTTTGAAAATATGATATACATCTATAACTTATTGCTTATTCTATAATTCTGTACATTAAATAATATATACTTAAGTTTATTTCTAAAAATAAGTTACAAATTCTTTAATGAAAATAAATAAATTGAAAGTTTTATTTTAAATTTTCTTCAAATTCAATGTTAATGAGCTATTAATGGTCTCATATATTCTTCAATGCAAATATTTAAATATCAAAATAATTTATCATT